CTATTTGAAACCTGGTAAAAATCAAGAAAGTTACTGGACAGCTGATCATCTTCTTGAACAAATCAAACATAAAACTATTCCTATTTTTGAGACATTGTATTCAAATTGTGTAGCGGTATTTGCCTTCGATAATAGTTCTAATCATACTGCTTTTGGAAAAGATGCTTTAGTTATAAGCTGAATGAATTTAAATTCCAGTGTCAAGCAACTAATTATGCATAATACTTATTTTAGACTAAATCATAATGAAAAACTTCAAGGTAAACCAAAAGGAATTAAACAAGTATTAATAGAATGAGAAAAATGGCCATCTGAAAGATTAATACTAGAATGTAAAAATTGTAAAAAAAAGTTTATGATCCTTCAAGAATTTCTTGTTGTGCTCGTCGAGTAATATCTTTAGAACCTAATTTTCTTGCACAAAAAGGAGCAATTGAAGAATTAATTGAAAAGGCTGGTCATATGTGTATTTTTTACCCTAAATTTCATTGTGAATTAAATTTCATTGAAAGATATTAGGGAGTTTGTAAAAGATATGCATGAGAAAATTGCAATTATTCATGGAATGGATTATAAAAAGTTGTATCAAAATCCCTTGACTCAGTACCTTTAATTACAATTAGAAAATTTGCAAGAAAATGTTAGCATTATATGGATGCTTATAAAAAAGGTATTAGTGGAAAATTGGCAGAATATGCTGTTAAGAAATACAAATTACATAGAAGAATTCCAGATAGTATTTTAGAAGATTTAGAAGAATTAAATAAATAATTTTTTTTTAAAATGTCTAATGATTATTTTTAGACTAATAAAAATCAATTCACGTGATCAAGTCACGTGAAGATCTGCAAAAAAATTTCAGACTTCTTTGATGAATATAGATGTTATGCATCATATCTCTTATTAAAGCTATTGAATTTATAAAATATCATATATTTGTAAAATATAGATTTTAACAATTATTACATTTATTTTTAATACTAATAATACTTTAATTTTTTTTACTTCTTTTTTATTATATTATCATCATTCTTAAAATTATTTATAATAGTTTTATTTTATTATTAATATAACAAACTAACTTTTTTTCTTTCAATTTTAATATTAATTTTGCAATTTTTCTTTATTTTACAAGAAGATTATTATTTAACTATCTCAATAATTAGATAAATATATTCTTTTAAATTGGTTAAATTTTAAATATTAAAAAAAAATAATTATTGTAAATATTAGAATATTAGAATATAAATTTTATTTCTTTTACAAATCATTATTTTTTTATTAAATTCTTTGTTGATTTTAATAAAAATTAATTTTTAGCTTTTAATCATTTATTTTTGCTTAAAAAAATAGAATTTATTTATTTAATTTTTCAATTCTCTTATAATAATTAATAAGAATTTTTAATTTTCTATATAAGAATAAAAAAAATAATTATTAATTATCATAAAATAATGAATAAATAAATTAAAATAATATATAATTATAAATCATTTTATTGATAGAAATAGTTCAAATTGGTTAAAAATCAAATGGCTGAATTTAAACTAATTTTAATATTATTTATAGTTGATTGATTATATTTTTTAATTATTTAAATTATTACTAATCAATGCTAATTAGATAAAGCCATTTAGTAATAATTTAAAACTTAAATTTAATCATAAATCAGTCTAAATAGGTCTTAATTTAGCATTAATTCAATCAAATAAGTATATAAACTATGCTATTTTTATTATTAAATATTAAAATTTATTAATAATAAAAATCTAATATAAATTTACAAAAATATAACAAAAAAAATTAATAAAACTTACAAAAAAGATATATAATATAATAATAATAATATAATTATTATTATCTAAAATAATAATAAAATTATAAAATTATCATTTATTTTCTTCTGAATTCTTCTAAATACTTATTATTGTAATATTAGCATTATTCAAAAATGTAAAAAAAAATAAATAAAATAATAAAAAATTAAAAAAATTTATCTATTCCTATTAAATCATTTGAAATTTTATTTTTTTCTATTATAAAATAGTAAAAAAATTATTTGATTATTTGAAATGTTGACTAATTAATTGATAAATTCAATTTATGTTTTAGTTTTTTTTTTAGTTTATTTTAATTTTTAGTATTAGTTATTTTTAACGCTTATAGAAAAATAAAAATATCAATTTATTTTGAAAAGTTAACTAGTTGATTAATAATATTTAAATAAAGCTCTGATAAAATAAGTAATCAAGTTATTTGAATTAAGAGGATTAATTATATTAAATAAAAATCTAATTTAATTTTAATTTTTATTTGAATTGATCTAACTATTATTTTAATTGAATAATTTATTATTATTTTAATTAAATGATTAGTTATCATTTAAGAAAAAATAATTAGTTATTATTTTAATTAAATAATTAATTATTATTTAAGAAGAATATTCATCATTGTTCTAGTTGAATAATATATATCATTATTCTAATTAAATAATTAGTTTTTATTTAAAAAGAACAATTTATTATTTTTATAATTAAATAATTCATTATTATTTAAGAAGAATAACTGGTTGACTTAAATTTTGTTAAATCAGATTAAGTCAGATAATAGATTGATCTAATATAATAATAATTTAAAAATCTACTGATCTAATTTGAATTTTCAGGTTAGATCAAATTAAGTAAATAGATTATTCTAATCTGATTTAGCTCTCTAATAATAATTATTTATTGACAATTATAATTAGTTACAATATCATCTTTAATTAAATATATGTAAAAATCAAAAATTTATAATAAAAAAAAGTAATTTCATTACAAACTAATTTTAAATATCTAAGTTTAAAAAAATAAAAATTTTTTTAAAGATTATGTTAAAAGTATTTTTTTAAAAATATATATAATCATTTTCCTTTATAATTACTTCCTATATAATCGCATCATATAAATCCTTCATTATAAGCACACATTTCATAAAACTAATACCTATTAATACTATATAAAAATTCCTTTATAATCACAATATTTTATAATCATATTTTTTTAGAACTAATACTTGTAATAATATATAAAAATTTCTCTATATAGTCATTTTTTATTTTTAGTCTTAAGAAATGTAATTATAAAGGAAAATGACTATATATATATAATAGTTGAAAAAAAATTGAAATATTGATTATCAATAATATTAATTATGTAAATGTAATTGATTATCAAATTATATATTTAATAATTTGTATCATTTTTATATATTTTAATTTATAAAAAATCAATTCATTATCAAATATATAAAATTATGATACAAAATTACTAAAACATATTAAAAATATATTAATAATATATTATTTCTATATACGATTTTTTTATAAAGCTAAGTCAGATAATAGCCTACTTATTAATTAGTAAAGTCTATTTGACTAATATAATTTACATCTATTAAAAATATTATTAATTGACCATTTTCTAATCACATTGAAATTAACTTAAAATTTTATTTTTTACTTTTTAATTTTATTAATTTTTTTATATATATAATTAACTTTTCAACTTTTTTTTCTTTTTTTATTATTATTGTTTCATTTTTGCATTTTAATAAATTTATCAAAAAGATATCAAACATAAAAAATTCAGAAGTATGATTTAGAATAAAATCATTTAACCTGTTTTTGATTTTATTTTAGCAAGAAGTAACAATTGAAGTTATCAATTTTTATAAAGAATTGAAACAAACACTATTTATATCACAAATAATTGAATAAGAATTTTGTAAAAAAAAAACAAGGAAATGAAGAAAAAAATTAAAGAGATTAGTATTATGAATGAATAAATTTGATTAGCAATTAGCCAATACAAGTTCGAATTATATATGTTAAATTTATGATTCTATAATTTAAATAGATTTTTAAATCTCTTTAGTTGAATCCAATTTAATGAAACTTGAACAATTAAAAATTTCTTTACAAAAAAAAACATCTTTATCTTTAATACAAAGTGGAGGATTGACTAATTTTAAACTTAATATTGCCAAAAATAATGAATATCATATTGCGCATATCTATATTAAAAAATAGGTATTCAATTGCAATGGTTACTAGCTTTGTATTTTCCGACAATGTAAAATGAAATAAAAACAATATTAAATTCTCATTCATCGAATAATCTCTAACGAACAATCTGTGTGACATTGTAATTTATATACCACCTATGGATTTTAATTTTTCTATTATAGGGATGATGCGGTTCTGTTGAATTTTTAATGAAGGGCATTGGATTTTTTTTTCCTTTCAAATTTGTTGCACGATACTTGCCGGGAAATTTAAGAAATTTTCAATTTAAATCTCCTCGATCTCGTTGATTCTCCAGCGATCAAGACCATAATTGATATCGTGGATCAGGCTGCTGCGCCATTCAAGTCCCAATTCTCATTTGCCGGAATTTACGCGTCAAATGATTTCGTGTTGTTGACCAAACATGCCACGCGGATCAACAGAAAAACTACGCAAGTACTACATCAAAGTCTCTTGACGATTTTAGTAATTGGCCATTTGATTAAGGTGCTGATTCAGGAACAACGGAATATTTAAATGATCGGATTTGATTTGTTACTCATTTTATATTCCCTTCCCTCTCTCGAACTTTTTCGTCTGCCGAGGTTGGAAGCGAACGAACCCTTTTTGAAAGTTACAGATTACATGAAGACGCGTTTGTCATAATAACATACCTTTCCAAAGTGTATTTTTTTTTTTTTTTCTTTTTTTTTTTTTTTTTTTTTGCCGCGAAACCTTCAAATAAGAAAACCTGGACATTTCAAGACGTCAATATTAATAAAAAGGTGCGTGGAAAATTTTTTAATACTTATCAAATCATTCAGGAAACGCGGGTCACGATATTTATAATGTACAGGAGAAAGAGTTCTCGAATCGTAAATAACGTAAAGGATTAAATGAAATTGTGTATATATATTTCTTTTCTTTCTTGCGCAATTTTTTTGACAGTTAAGCGATGGCTTCCAGATTGCCCGTTGAATGTCTGAGGAAGGTCTTTGAAGACATTGTCACGACTGATATAAACCTTGATCCTTTTTCTCGAAAGGATGGAGTGGTCTATTCAAATCTAAATCATCTTTATTCATGTATCTTGGTGAATCGAACCTGGTGTGCAACAGCGATGCCTTTGCTGTGGAAGGATCCTTTGCATTGGTTATCCGTTAGGTACGATGAAGTTGTGAATCAACTACCCACGCCTTGGAAAGAACGTTTCCAATTCTTCATCCCATTTACTTTCACGAGGTCCGATAGACTACCAATGCTCATCTCAACTTACTTTAAATGCTTGCCGGAAAAGAGCAGACGTAGCCTGAAAGCTAACAAGGCTTTCAAAGGTTCGGAATTTATAATGGATATCAAACCATACTTTGATTATCCCTTCTTTTTGGAAAGGTTGAACCTACCCATTTTAGCAAATGCCGTTTCGATGTGGAACAGTCAGTATCAATCCGCTGATGAACTTTTCGATGAGGACACGGATACGGATGAGGAAGTACTGCCAGTAAGCGTCCTGGCAGAAAAACTCCTGAGGATGTTCATGGAAAGAAGCGGCAACCTAAAATACCTTAGTCACATGAAATCAAACATCTCCATACAATGTGCTGTTGAAATTAAGAGTAACTTGGCAGTTTTCCCCGGCGCAAAATTAACTTTATCAAAGATCACATCGTTTCACTTTAACGCAACTTCCATCAAGAAACCAGACAAATATTACCAGGCACTGGCACGTATATGTCATTCTATCGAAAACCTAGAAATTCATTTCCTCTGTAGCGATAGTAAGGGATTGGCCGCGCTGATCGAGTCACAACGAAGATTGTTGAGGCTCTTGATTCACGGAGGATCGGGAACAAGTTACTTTGGAAATGAATCCGGAAATATTGAATATCAACATGTCGTCAAGGCGTTGGAAAATAAAGTCAGCGATCTCACTTATCTAAATTATCAATGTAATGGCGGAATTCCGTTGGGAACTTTCGCGTCTTGTAAAAAACTGGAGCGTTTGTTACTACATACACTTTATTACCTTTGTTCCGATAGTTTCGTCAAGTCAGAGTTTCCACACTTAAAATCCTTATTCATTGAAGATGGTTCGTTCTTGATTAATCACCAGATCAGGATTATTCAAAACTCTGGTGGTTCGATAACGGAGATCGTAAATTGCATGAGTGAACCAAGGGATCCGGACAATTTGACGAGCTTCTACGAGACCGTCATGGGGTTTTGTCCGAATATAATTAATTTCGAGTATTACATAAGCAAGAATCAATTTTCACTGATACCCAATCTGTTCAAAAAGTGTAACAAGCTTCAAAAGGTGATCTTTCATTCCGCGAGCTTACCAAGTGACACCGCCGAAATCAATGACATTTTGAAGAGGATGGGAGAAGTAATTCCCGAGAAACTACAAAAGATCGAAATTCCATGGCATTTCACATTTTCTGCGGCTTCTTTGGAATCCTTCTTGCGGGGCTGTCACAAAAGGTTGAAGGAACCTTTACGTTTTAAGGCTTGCATTCCCACCGAAGAACATCGAGATATATTGGAACTATACGTGAATCTTGGCGTTTTGAAAGAGAACAGCCCCACTTTTTGAATATGCATATGTTTATCAACTTTTTTAGTATTATGACATAAATTTTTTTTTTTAAAAATTTTTTAGTATTTTATAATTTGTTAATCAAACTCTTAATGTATATATATTATGATTGTTTTGGATACCAATAACCTGGAACATTTTTGAACAATAATAAAATAATTTCGATTGGACTCTCACATTATTACCAAATCGGGTTATAAGTACGCGACTGTTCTTGACATTTTAATAAATAAATAAATAATATATATAATATATATACATAAAATATACAATTGTATTACGGTTTATTAATGACAGACGTCTAATATTTTTTTTTTTTTTTTTGCTTTTTCTTTTTCTTTTTTTTAATTGGCGATATTTTCAAAATGTAAAGTATACTTCTTATTTTTACTCCAATTCTCTAAAAATTCATTCAATTCCCCTTTAGTAAAGTTCCATTTTTCCTTAAAGACTATCTTTGATAAGGTTGGCAAGTTATTTTTCATCAAAATATCGAAAATACTCTTGGCATCCAATGCACCATTCAATTCTACTGCTACGAATTCGATTTCTTTCAAGTGATCACACCTTTTCAAGAATGATTCTAAATCCGATAAAACATCCCTTCTAACCCATATCACGACGTATTCTAATAACGAACAAGATCGCGTAATGGTACCTAGATATTTCTTTATGGATTCCGTTAGGAGATCGTTTGATATGAAATGAATATCGATCCCCTTCAATAGGGTGGCATTCGAGGATGAAATAAAGTTTGATAAGGAATTCAATGCTAGGGATTCTGATCGTTGATAAATGTGAGAGTGTAAAGTTTCTAGCAGAGGGAAATGAATTAACTCTAATTGTCCAAGATCAAAATCCGATTCAGATTGCATATCTATGATAAATTCTTTACAATTGTTTAAGGAATTGAGGAATTCGGGAGAAATGCAAAGGTCATTTTGAATTTTCACGCAAGTGATCGTTTGTGATCTTGTTGATAATGCTTCACCTATGAGGGGGCATGATACATCATTATTCTTGGTCGAAATTAATTCGATCGTTTTTAACCGGTCTTGAGATTCAATGAATTTCGCCAAACCTTTACTGTCTTGATGACAATAAATTTTAATCTCTCGTAGATGATGACAGATTTCGGATAAATCCAAGAAATAATTATCAGGGATAAACGTTGAACAAGTCAATTTTACCAAAGTTCGTAAGCAAGTGGAGGAATCCTTAATGTGACAGATGGAATAATTTGGAAGGATTAAAGATTTAAGCTTAAAACATTTGGTCATGAATAAATCCCAAAAAATTTCTTGCAATAGATCATCATGGCTGACATCGTAACCGTTTTTTTCGTAAAATTCGTCAAGGATTCCTTGTACAAGGGAGCCAATAATCTCTTTTGAAAGATTATTTATGTAAGAGACATAATTAAATAAAGGAGGACTAGTTAATTGCGTGGAGGTGATTATTCCTCTTCTATAAAGGGTTCGTTTTTGAACCGTATCACAACATGATAATATCGTTTTTGAGATGTTATTTCGATACTTTGGCAAGTAGCTCCATGGATTATTCCATAATAACGGAATCGTAATCTCAAACCATAGCCTATTTACAAATAAGAATGTGTATAAGGATTTTTTTTGAGTCACGTTTTTAATTATGATTCGGATAACGTCGGTAATCATTTTGTTGCTGTAAAACAAAAAAAAAATGATGTTAAAATTTGAAGTAGGGAAAAAAAGAAAAAAAAAAAAGAAAAAAAAACTATCTCCCTTATATACAGTAATCGAAAAGAATACATGACGGATTGTTTGCAAACCCAGTTATCTTTTCAGTATTTTTTTTTTTTTTTTTTTTTTTTTTTCTTACGATTTTCTCATAATCAAAAAAAAAAAAAAGATAAATAAATAAATAAATAAATAAAGATAACCTGTTTCGAACTATTTGGCGTAATTGTAAAATGGTATGACTTTCCCACACATGATCATAAATAACTGTAAAATATTTTTTTTTGGATTAATCGTATGTTCTAGAATTGGACCAAAAAGAAAATAGCCCGTCCCATTTGATAATTCGATTGGTTTGAATCATCTGACACATATGTATAGTAGCAAGTTGATGTGATGTAATAAAAAGCTTATTTCACAATTGTTTAAAATTATATTATTATTTTACCCTTTGGGAAGTAACTTTCAAAGAAGTGTGAGAAACTGAAATCGTCTCTCGTCATTCTAGAAGGTAAACAACATTCCCAATTTTTCCCGAGTAATCTTGATCTGATTAACCGGATAAGCGATAAACCTTATCGAATGAAGTTGCTGCGTCATGTATATCCTAAAAGAAGCCAAAAAGGATTTCATTTTTCAGCCGTGTAACCCTAGATATTATCTCACATTGTTATGAAAAATGTTGAACCTTTTTTTTGAGATGATTCTTCCAAATATAGACTATCAGAAGATAGAGAGTTAAAAAAAAAAAGCTTTGTCTGTTGAAATATAATTTCTATGACAGAATAGTATCCGCAGCACATGCGGCACGCGTTTCAACTTCACGTGATGAATTCAGCCCAAAGTTAATGGGATAGATATGATTCAATTTGTGGAACCAGCGCGGAGGTTTCATTTTGAAATTTGACAAAAATTTAAAAATTGTTTTATAATAAATGTTGCAAACGCGGTTTCGCCAAAACTCGAGATATGTCATTAATTATCTCAAAAATTAATTTGTAGTCAAACAAACCACCTGTCATTGTTTAATTATCGAAATATTTCATAATTTGCCTTCTTTTCATATCTGACTCAGAAATTCTATGAATTAAATATAATTAATGATACAAATGTTTTAAACAAGATTTATAAAGATGATTTTTTAAAAAATGATTTATACATAATTTCTCATCTGAGAGAGCATGTGTCCATTAGTTGGCTTCTTTTGATAAGTTCCTTTATGTAAAAATTGTTCTATCATTTCATTGATTCCTTTGGAACTCAAGATTTTCTCTAAGAAATTGTCTTTAGTAAGAGCATAAATAAGCTTTCTCATTTACATGTACAACTTATAGTCATAAAACCACAAAGCTATATGTATGTTTTTCGCGAGCGACATTGTATGTATTTTTCTTAACCCAATTAATTCACGTGTAAATTTTTATTATAACTTCGTTTAAAACTTTTTAAATGTAAATAATCTGGATCTTATGAATAACCCAGTCCATGGATCTCAATTATAAATAATAACAAATTCTATTTAGACCTACGCATGTACTGCCAATCTACATTCCAATTCTCTTCCTTAGCCTGTGAATTCCCGTTTTGATTTTTTTTATTAATAGATGTTAGGTAATATATAAAACTGAAAATTTTTTACTAATTTCCTTTTTTTTTTTTAAAAAAAAAAAAAAAAAAAAAAAAAAAATACAATACCTTATACAAAATAAAATGTATGGTCGAAAATTAATTTATTATGTCATTTTATGTCATTTGTTGACTTATATAACTAATATTTTTCTCATACTAAAAAAGAATCAATTTTTTTTTTTTTGAGAATTTGAATTCTCTTTTTCTTTCTGATGCTTGATAAACATTATATTTTTATACCTCTTTAATGATTTTAAATTTCATTGAAATATTTATCATTTAAATTCATCTTTTTTTTACATTCTAATTAAAATACAATTTAAATTTCTATGATAAAATTCTTAATATTAAAATACTTTAGATAATTCCAAAAATATTAAAGAAAATTATATTATTTTATATAAAAAGCTTTAAAATAATATATTAAATTCTAAATAACATTTGTATTGCAATGTTAATCATCAATTAATATTTAGTAATAATACTTATCAAAAAACTTTTATAAAAATAAAGATATATTATCTATGATTATATATATAATATTCATAATCTTGATTAGAAATTCAATAAATTCATCAGAAAGGTTTGCAAAGTTTTTTTCTTTAATATATTATGTTTGACTATAAGTTTAAAGAGTCTATTTATTAAAATTTTATAAATCCTTTTTAAGCAGTTTTAAGAAGATAGTTGAATAAGTCTTAGTAATATTATAATATCATTTAATCAATTTAGAGATTAGATAAATGTAAATTATCTTTCACTTATTTTAGAATAAATATATAAAATCGTTTATTAAAATAAATATTAGATTTCATATTCTAAATATATTATTATTTTTTACTAATTAGAATTTAATAATATTTAGCTTATTAAATTTGTCTTATTTAAAAAATTTTAAATAGTATTTATTTTATAAAATCAGAGTAATATTAAATAAAATATTATTTTAATTATAATAAGTCATATAATAATTAATATCATTTGATTATTTTAACTTTTAATTTTATTTGATTTTTAAATTAAAATATTTTAACTTTGGATTTAATTATATAATATTACAGTTACTACTAGTTATATCAAATCTAATTGTATTGAAAATTTATTATATCAAATTAAAATCTTTAGAACAAATTTTTTATAAATAATTACACTAAATATAATGAATTTCTATAATAAAATACTATATACTGTATCTGAATTTAATTTAACTAGTCTGCTTATATTAATTATATATTTATATACTAAACAGACTTGTGATCAAATAGAAATTTAGATCAGATTTATAATACTAGTCAGAATTATTATTTAACATTAAATAAAAATAGTTAAAACAGTTTTGTACAAGTAAAATAATTAGTTTTGATGCTAATAGAATAATTCTATAAAAAATTTTAATTTATTTAAATATTATAAAGAAATTTCAAAAAAGGCAATTTATATTATATAAATTATAATTCTGATAGCATTATATATTTAACTCAAATTATTTATACTACATATAATGAACTCATTCTATATTGATTTAAATATTTAAAATAGCTAATTTATTATATATAGTAGTGACTATTTATATATATTTACTAATTAATATAATAATATATTTTTATAAATATCAAATACTATTTATTTTAATTTTATATATTAATATTAATTTTTTATTATTTTAATTTTTAATAATTATATAATTTATATTTATAAATAGATAAAAACTTTATTTTATTAACTTTAATAATTGTTTAGATTATATTATAAAAAAATAGATTTAAAATGCTTATTTAAATCTTTTATATTAAGTAAAATATCTAAATTTTTTTTTACTAAAATTTTAATATAATTTTATCATTTTTATAAGTTTAATATAATTTTATATTTTTTTAAGATTAATTAATATAATTTTACTAAATTTTACCTTTTATTATTTAAGTAATTTATAAAACTAATAATTTTTATCTAATAATCTTAATCTTATTATTAAAGATTTTTTTGATATTAATATTTAATATCATAATTAAAGATAGAGCTGTAACTAATTGCAATCATATAATGCTTATTTATCACCAGTTGCAACTAGTTACAACTTAATTTTTATTAATATTGCAACTAATTGCAATCCTGTGATGCTTATTTATACTAATTACAACTAATTACAATATCATCTTTAATCATAATATTATAAAAATTTTTAAAAAAAAATTGTAAATAAAGAAAAATTTTATTTGTCAATTAGAGATAATTTTTTTATTTATTAACTATTAAATTTTTAACTAATAAAAATAGATGATAAACTATGTGATTTATGACTATACTAATAAACTGTATTATAACGACTAATAATAAAACTTTCAATAATTTGTAACTGATATATAATAATAAAAAACTTTTTGAAAATTATTTTTTACTTGTGAATGAATTATGATATTGATATAATAATGATTTAAAAATAAAGTCTGGCAACTGAAGGGAGCTAAGCTCAAATTACTACTATAATTCAAGTTGATCAGCTTGAATTACAGTAGTAATTTGAGCTATAATCAATAATAACTTAATGAAATGTACTCATTTTTTCACATGATAAATAAATATCAATATTATTAATGCTAAAATAAGAATAAATTACAATTCTGTTATATAAGTTTTTGCATAGTGGCCTATTTTATGATATCTTTTGCAAGTTACTTTTTGTTTAAATGTTTTAATTTCTTAGTTTAAATTAACGTTTTCTTATAATGATATATTTATCATATTAGTTTTATCTAATAAAGTAATCCATTTATTACTACTTTCAATAGATGATTAATTCTTTTATTTGCTACTCGATCCTTATATTATTTAAATTCTGATGAAATAATTTTCTCAATACTACTTATATTATTATTATTATTATAAAACTGAATTAGTTCCTCATTATTTATTTGTTAAGCAAGTTATTTATTAATAATCTACTGGTTAATAGTATTATAAAGACTAAAATCTTCATTATCAATAGATTTTTTAAGTACTTTCTTAAAGATTTCAGAAAATTTTTCATATATATCTTTAACTTGTCTAGCTTTTACTTTCTCTTTTTGATCATCATCATTTAAATCATCATACATCTGAAATATAATATTATTTGCTATAAGATTAGTTTCTATAATATAATTTGTTTACGATATAAAAGATTCATTTATTGCAACTATATTTTATTTAAGCTACAGATATTTTTTCTTGAACCAACAAATTGGAATAAGTTTAATATAAAAAAATGCTTCTAAAATATAAAGCATAATCTATTTAAAATGATGTTAGATTTGCTATTTTTTCATATATATTATAAAATTATTGTAAAATATGCCTGAAAAAAATACTAATAGTATAATTTTATTATTATTAAGGATATATATGAATACATATGTATTCTATTCTCTAGTAAAATAATATAATTAACTTTACTTGTATTATATCGCTTAACTTTCTATATAGAAGCTATTAAATTCTCTTTATATCTGATAATTAAAGTATATAATTCTATTTGTCATAATTCACTATAATTTTCGATAAAATCTATATTAAATTCAGCTGCATTTTGCTACAAATAAATAATTAATTAATAACCTTTATAAATAAATACAAAAAAAATACATAATATTTATATGTCTAATAATATAAAGTTCATCAATTATTAGCTGATGACAGTAATTTAGAGTTGCTTGATTTATTTGTACATATTGTAATGATATTAATTTTGTTATTAAATAAGTATTGATCACTTAATCAATTTTTGGAAAAAGTTGAGTAGCTAAATTTAAAAGACCTATTAAAGCATTAGAATCTTTAAATTTCTGATATTTGATACATTGTATTTTAATAAAAAATTCGCTTATTTAAGCATTGAGCTAATTGCTATAATATTATACTTTTATTAATTACTCTCTTTATTATCCCTACAAGCATTTTGCAGGCAAATTTTCCTGCAATTTTATTTAATAATTAAAATTATTTATAATATTTTTAAATATTTTTAAAATAATTTATTTAAAAATTAAT